CAACCATATCTATAACTAAATCTCCCTTTAGCATTCATGATAAAACATCATCCACCATCACATTTAAGGACAATACACTACTTAGTGGGTACAACTCAGGCCCTGTCCTCCAAGAGAGTACAGAAAGATGGTCTCTAGAAAGGCATCCACCACTACCTCTCATCTCCCCATCCCAAGCTTTGCCCTGAGGCAACCATCTCACTGTGACCAGAGTTGACGTGAATGCTCAAACTGGTTCATCCTCTCATTCATTACTGAAGCTCCTAACGTCATGTCTTCACTAACAAAGCACAGCAGGATGGGAACAAATTTCTTCTGTATGACAACACTTGCACTCAACTTAGGGTGCCATGTCAAAATTGAACAAGAGAGATAAATTGCAATCAGACATGAGCAAAATATGTTTGGTGAGGAAGGGATCAAGTAGAGATGGTGTACGCAGGGCAAAGATTGATGGGATTTGCCGTAGTAAGTACAAGGTCATAAATTACAGAAGAGGATTAGGAAGGACTTTTCAATTACTGTATTGTTCAGATGTGCTAAACTTTTTGAAACTGAAAATAAATGTGCTAACCTTTTTAATTGAAAATAAAGTATGGGAATATCATGCAAAAGCTACAATACCCTTCAAATGATATGTCAAGCAACTTAGAATACAGACAGTCCCTTCCATCTCTGGCAGGCACCCTACACTAGATGCCACCAGCAAACTAGTGCCTCCTAAGTCATGGAAGTGATGGAGAAAGATTTCTATAGAAGAATCATCAGGGAGCAATTGGTGCTTAAAACTCCCCTTAGCTATCTAGTCTGCTTCAGCTCTAGGGTTCAAGTCAAATAATTCCTCTGCAATTGGCCAGATGCATCTGCCAATGCTCCCCAAGGCTTATTTCAAGGGAAGGAAAGATGCAAAAGAAAATAAGTGGTTGGGTGGAGAATTAAGCACCCCCTCTAATTTTCTGATATGATAATCCCTGAAAAATGCCTTCCTTCCCCCCCCCCCCCCACACACACATAGCATTGTGAGTTCAGCAAATCTCATGGGTGTCTCTCTCGTACTGAAAACTTACCATGTTTCCAGAGAGGGTATTATGGCCATGCTGGAGAAGAGCTGTAGGTGTTAGATGTATGCAATTCTATAGGCAACTCCAGGAAACAATATGGTATTTCTGTCTTCTTCGTTTCATGTTCTTTTCTTAATCATTCTGATGATCTGAGAATGCAGAGGTAATTCCAAGGCTGTTTCTAATTCCAACCGACCTAGCTACTCATAAAGCAAACATCTGGTTAAATATTTGCCTGTCATAAGAGCACAATGAGGAAGCTAACCAACTGGAAGAGTCTCCCAGTTATCTGCAGACACCACATTTAACAACCAGAAGTAAAAAAAAAAAAAAGCCTTCCAATCAGTGGCATCGCACAGAAAAATACATGAGTACAAAGTTCAGAAGAAAAGTTCAAGAGAGCATGCAAAATGCAAAACAGTATGACTTGAGCAGCACAGGGTGAATTGAACAATAACTGGTGGGTCAGTTACTAAAAAGATTTTCCAGAACAATACTAACTTAGTGGAATCGGGTTTGGTTTTTGTATATAATTTTATTAAATAAAATTTCAAGAGAATAAAAACAACATCATTTGTGTTTACTTATCATGTCTCTTACAATTCTGTCTCATTCTATGTGTTTGAACCCAACATTTTTTTAGGGGGTTTGTTGTTGTTTTTTGGCAAGTCCACCAGACATGATAAAAACATCTTCCATGTTTCCCACATTTCTAATATAAAGTTCAGGCATTTTGCATCGTGGGCAGGAAATACCTCAAGTGATATGTAATTTCCAACTCCACTTTTTTCCAACCTCAGAAACTCCACTGATTGAACCATAGACATTCAGAAGCAAATCATCTAATTGTAGAAAAAATTGCCACTCATTTTCGAAGAAAAGGGAAAGGACAATGATGCGTAGGTCTTCTAAAAGGCTTCACACACTTTAGATGGCTTTCAAAAACAATATCCATCCTCCCAAAAGATAAATATTGCTGTGATGCCACTCAGCACTCAATGACAGCTGACCCCTGCAAGAATATACATCTCAGTGTCTCTTTGATGTGGGCCATTAGCATGTACAGAAAGACACAGCTGGCACCATACAGGCAGGAAGAGATTACACCATCCGTTCTGTATTTAGGGGAGGCAAAGTTGGGGGACTGCTTAAATGCAAGCCTTAGAAAGGAAATAGAAAGAAAGGCTGGCTTTTTAAATATATTTTTATAGAATATCAATGTAATATAAATACAAAATAACTGCAAAAACATTACAAATTCAAAATACTGAATTACTGATAATGTATTGAGTTGGATTGTTTTTCTTTGTGTGTGTTTGTGTTATAAATGCATCATATTACTTATTGTTTAATTATAAAAATTAATAAAATTTTATTATAAAAAAAAAACTGAATTACAGATGCTCTTTTGCTCTTCAAATCACATCCCTCTCAAGAACACTTTTAAATTTGCAAAATCACTCCAAAATATCCATTTACCTATTGTAAATATGTGGTCAACAGAAAGATACTTCTTATGCTTCTTAGGAATTGTTTGGTAGAAAGTTTCCACATGCAGAGTAGATTTTAGAACATGCTTTATTAAAAATAAACCTCTTAACATTTTTCTTTCTAGTTGTGACAAGCAAAGATTACGGAGGACAAGATGCTAACAGGAGGACTCTTTTAAAGTTTTGTTCACTTGCATCTAACTTTGGCATATCTTTCTTTCTTTCTTTTTCTTTCTCTTTTTTCTTTCTTTTCTTTTCTTTTTTCTTTCTCTCTTTCTTTTTTTCTTTCTTTCTTTCTTTTTTTCTTTCTTTCTTTCTTTCTTTCACTTCATGCCTGAATAATTTTCTGCCAGTTCAAAAACTGTCCATTTCAGAAGTGGAAAGGGCCTATTTCTGTGTATAGTTGTATATTTATTTCTTAACAACCATCCACATTACCTTACATGGGAAAAAGTCTCTTATATCACCTCAGGGATGGTCTGGTGAAATTAGATGCCATAGGGAAATAACCTCTATTCAGGAAGTTTCTGCATTCCAAAGAAGTTCCTGAAGGACATCTTCTCTTATCCATGATCACTAGACATGTCTATGGAGAGTATTGGGGTTGATATTCAACAGCATCTGAATGGCATGTTGAATTTCCCTGTTCCTGCTGTATGGCTTCATCAAAGAGTTACTGTATATAAACATCAGATTATGGCCAATGCACATATACCTTCAAAGTTCCAATTTTTAATACCAGCATAAGGAGGATGGGGTACACAGGATTACCAGTATAAGGAGGATGGGGTACACAGGATTAAAAAGTATAAAGGATACAACAAAATATAATTGAAAAGAAAAATCAGTGCTAAAATATATAAAAACAAGACTTTAAAAAAACTAAAGGGAAAGGTAGAAATATTAGATCAACGGGAGGGACCATACAATTTAGTATACGGCAAACTAAATCTATCATAGTACAAAGCACTTTTGAATAACTAAATGCTCATTAAGACTAGTGTATGGCATAGGTCATCTGACAGATTTTAAGCACTGCTGGGCAAAGCCTGGCAACATTATAATTGTTAGCAGGGTTAATGTCTGAAAGTAGCAGGGAAATGTAATTTGGGTATTTATCAATAATGGTGAGTATGTATGAATGTCTCTATAGTACTGGCACTGGAGAAGTACATGTTCTCTTGTTTCTACAAGAATCACAGGGGCATATCTCTTTAGGTAGGGGATCTTCCTGTATCGCCCTTCAAGGATACCTGAGGTATGACATTGTGCCAGAATGAAGGCCTTTTGGTGTTTAGGTAGGTTGAGGTTAGTTAAGTGTGTCATGAGCGAGGCAGAGTGCATTGGCACTTCGTGTCTGCTATATACTGTTTAATGAGTGCATTGGCTTGATCATCTCCCATGCTGAGTAAAAGACCTGGAGAGAAGAACAAAGCTGCAATTTTATTTGCCACGGCCTTTCTCCATGTGGACTGAAAATCATTCCTCATAATTAATGGAGAAGGCCAAGGAGAAAAAGATATAATCTGATTCAATCGTTGGATACAGTCACCCATACTTTAGCCTCCACTTTCATGAGGCCTGTCTCCAGTTTCACACTGGCATTAGAAACGTATTTGGGGACTTGATCAGTTGATCTTAGAAATTTGGATCTAATGGCGCAAAATTGGAGAAGGGATCCAGATGGGGACACACACTTGATTTCCCGTCATCACAAAACATTCTATCAATTGATGTTCAAAATGTTTGCTATTAAAGCAAATATTTTTTATTAGGTATTTTAAGACAAAGGTAAAAACTAACAAGAATTAATATAAATTGAAAGAAAGAAAGAAAGAAAGAAAGAAAGAAAGAAAGAAAGAAAGAAAGAAAGAAAGAAAGAAAGAAAGAAAGAGCCAAAGGTACAACAATAAAAAAATGGAAAAAAAATTGAAGTGGCTTCCAATTTTCTTTACAGCAATTACAAGCACCAATACAAAATTACCGCTTAGTCTATGGTTATAAGGAAAAAAAAAATCTCTTTTTACCATTATCAATTTTTTTAATCATCAAAACCACAAATTGTAATTTCTTTTTTTCTCTTTCAAGCAAACAAAATCTACATGGAGTTTCCAGTCAATAATAAGTGTTGATCTTGTCTTTTCTCTAATTATTTTATTTATTTTATTTTATTTTATTTTAAGACTTATATGCCGCCCTTCTCCCCACGGGACTCAGGGCGGCTCACAGCATATTAAAACAACATAGTACATTTCCCCAATAAAAGCCAATTAAAACCAAATATTTGTAGCTGTGTCTCTTATTAAAATCATTAAAAATTATCCCTATTTAAAATTCACCCTAGGTCAGTTAATTTCGCCTTCATTGCAAATTCTGTCATCTTCACCAACCATTCCTCCATTGTGGATTGTGCTGAATCTTTCCATTTTTGCACATATAATAATCTCACTGCAGTTATCATATAGTGGTGCTGGGATTGAATACAGCACAGTAACATAATAAATACTAGCCACGCTGCAAGTGTTCATTTAGGAAACAAATGAATATGTCAGCAAGCCCCTCTAGATCACAACTCGGATCAAATACTAAATCATTGCCAACCACAGAGGCAACTGTACGCTCAGGGCTCTTAGTATATTTAGTGTACATTGTCAAAAAGAACAAAAATTTGATCAGTCCATTGAATAAGAGAGAGGTTTTAGCTTCCGGATTTTTTGGAGACTGGGGTTATTCAGAAGTGTATAGAGCAGGAACCATCTTGTCCTGGCTTTGCTAGACACTCTGGGAACTAAAATAAGAAACCAGTATTAATTTTTGCCATGTTCAGCAGGCCAGACATTCTCTCTCAGCCCAACCCACCTCACAGGATTGTGGTTGTGTGGAAAATAAGAGGAAGAACGTGATTTGGATATGATTTACGTCATTTGTAAAACTAAAAGGGCGGGATATCAATAAATAAAACAAACATTCCCCAGATCATTCTCTTGTTTATTACTGACCAACATACTCAAGTGAATACTGTATGTGAGGTTCTGAGACTCTATATCATATGCATTGTATTTCAGTTAATCCCTTGCTGCCAAAGAATTGATCTTAACGCATTTTGGAATTTCTGTTTTTTTGGGGGGAGGAGGGGAAATTGCAATTTAAGTTTTTCTAAAAATAATAATATAAAGTTTGGGGGAGAAAGGAGATAGATCAATACAACATTTTAGAGCAGTGATGGCAAACCTTTTAGAGACTGAGTGCCCAAATTGCAACCCAAAACCCACTTATGCATCGTCAGGTGCCGGGTGGGTGTGGCCAATTGGGTGGGTGTGGCCCATTGGGTAGGTGTGGCTGCGGTGGTAACAGCAGACTGGGTTGGATTAAAAAGTTCAATCAATCAATTCCAACTTTGCAAGATCTTTTTTTTCCCCGCAAGAAGTTGAAATTGACTGATTGAACCTTTTTTTTTTTTTTGCACAAGGCAGCAAAGGCCTAAAGCAAAAGGTTTTATAAAACCCAGCTGAAGGCCTAGGACTGGAGCGACGGCGCGTGTGCCCACAGAGAGGGCTCTGAGTGCCGCCTCTGGCACCCGTGCCATAGGTTCACCACCACTGTTTTAGAGCCTTGCACAAGTATTAGAACTCACTATCTAAACAACTCCACCCTGTAAAAAAATGCTACGCTCTCGGGAAAAACAAACTTTGGGGATGATGCTGTCACAAATGTCTGAACAGATAACTTTCAGAAATCCAGTGTGCATGATAGCAGAGATACCTGAAATGGAAACTTCTAATAAAGTATAGGACATAGGTTTATCTTCATGACAGGAGCCAGGGCAAAAGGCCAAATTGTTGATGAAATGGAAATGTTTAGTTATGGGATCCACCTTCAAGAGTTCTCTGAATGAAGACAATCTGCAGTGAGCAGCAGGAGTGGAGATTCTATTTTAACCTGCCCTATATCTTATATATTGCTTAACATCCCAACAGGCCATGTGATTCAGGCTTACCTATTTCCAATGGTTTACCCACAGATGAATATGAATCGGCTGACAGGTTTTTTTGTTTGAGTTTGTTGCAAAGGATTTGGCAGAAGCACACAAGGATGGGGTTTGTGTGATAGTGGTCCAGAAAAAGCATTCCAATCCAAACTGTGAATCCTGCAGAAAAATCATGAGTATTTCTTTTTTTGTATGTTAAATGCAGCTTCTTGTTCTCCCATCCCACCCACTCCACCCAAGGCTTGAAACAAAGATGGGTGGAAGGTCCAGTTCATTATGTAAAAGTAGATGAGGCCTCCTCTGTAAAGTCCTTCAAACTCTTACCTGCATCACATTGTTCATAACCTTTTGGCATTACTGGCCGATCTATCCGTCCAACCAGCCAAGCCCCAAGAACGATGCTGCGGGCCAGTCTGAATAGACAGGAAGTTAAGCCCACGACCACCGAATGGAAGAATAGAAAATAACTGAAGTTTACGAAGACTCTCCTGCAAAACAAAAGGCTACCACTGAGAAGTCTCATGCTTACTCTCCAACTATAGAGGCAGAAACAGATGAATTTGCTTTTGAATTCAGCAATGGAGGCAGATACATCCCCAATGGGGTTTTACCAAAAAGGAAAATTTAGTAGTTCTTCCTAGCGCTCAGTTGAGGAAATACAATGAGTTGTACTTACAGAAAGTTATAATACTTTACTGATCCTATGAGAAGATGAATAAGGTTTATTTATAAGTCCTACCAATCGTAATTGATAAGATATAGACTGTTGTACCAAGATATAATACAAATGCATAAACAAATTTCATTGAACTGAAATCAGTCTATACATTGCAACGCTGGCACAATATTAAAAGATTTTTCAGTAGAATAAGATAATCCGATCAACAGATAAGACTAGGATAAAAAGAAAGCAGGTGAGGAGAATTATATTGTTAAATCTTCCCTAGTTTTCTTCATGCAATATTCAACATGAAAAAGCATTTGAACGTGTTTTCTTTATAGCTTACAATAGCATAATACAAATGCCACATAGTCCTTCTGAAACTGTATTTTTCTACTTAACTTTTTCCCCATTGATCTTTTAATGTTTTCCTGCCAACATGGTCTCATAGTGACTAACAAATGGCAGAATTAGAGGCTGAATTAGATCAGCTTCCCTGAGTAATTATTTCCAAATAAGGTTTTTATTTGTGCAAATATGAATCCTGTCTCACATTTTCACATCCCTCCTTTTTCACATCTTTTTCTGACAGTCATTTTAAAAATAAGGAAAGAACACCGGCAAAACTATACAGTACCTTCCAAACAACACTGCTAAAAGATGTTTATCTGGAAGCATCCTTGCTTATCAAATCCAGATGCTGTGCATTGGAAAAAATTATAGTCACAGAATAGCAGTAGACATATCGCTCCCTAGCACTGACCTGTTATCAAGTGCCAAAGGCTTTTGACTGTCACTCGGTGACATTTTTGGCTGGAGAAAAAACCTGGCACCAACAAACACCTGTATCTTCTTGATCACTAGGACAATGACAAATGTCAGGCTGAGAGACAGAAAACAAAGAAAAGAACATTGCATTTTAAAACCAAGCTAAACCCTTCAAAAATATATATAAATAATATTGAAAGCATTGTGTTTTGCTACCATCCTCTTACTCAGGGATTTTTATGTTCATCATTATGAATTCCTTGGTACTCAATTCTATCCAATTTCCAAATTCAAAAGTATATAAAAAAGATTAAAGGTGGAATTCTATGAACATAGTATAGAACTGCATATGCAGGCATGTGTTTTTGTGTTGTTTGTATTTCCTCCTATCAAACAGACAAATGGCACTTCAAATGATATAATAAGCTCTCATTTCTGACTATGAATGTTTCTGCAATCAGAGCAGCAGAACAAGGAATCATCTGCTCGGTACGTATTTTTTTGAGGATGTACAAATTCCTTCTTTGTAATCCAGCCAATGAGATGGATGATGGTAACTGCTCAAAGTTTCCCAATCCCATCCAGCCAGATTGTCTTCTAGGCTTTGATAATGTTCAACATGGGCTGATTATGTGAATAATGCTCCCAGTTTCAGCTTGGTAAATCTATAAAGGCAGGGAGACCAAACTGTTATTGTGACTGCAGGCACTTACACCGTAATTCCCCATTTGTCTAAAAGCTCCATCCACTTGCCATGTATCATGGGTAAAATCAAAATATACGTAAGTATTATTCCAAATAACCACTGCAGCAAATGCATGATTAGGTATCCTAGAAAAGAAAATTTACAAATGGTCAACAGAAGGGGAGAATTAGAAGTCCCCAGTAATTTATTCCAACCCTTTTAAGACAGATGTCCACATACCCCACATTATGTATGCAACTTGGAAAGAGATGTACTTTGATAGTGCTACCTGTTGGTGTAAAAAGAATGGGAGAGCTCAGTTAGGATTTCACAAACATATAAACAAAATATACAATATTTCCACAAAATCTAAGTGGCATATTTTTGTAACTAGAACTATATCTGTATAAGTACAGAAAGCAATTCTGTCAGCATAATGCCTTAGATTGGACTGAGGGGAAGAAAATAAGATGCCGAACCCTCGGGTGTAACTTTGTTTTACTCATTTATTTTTACCCAAATAAAATTTCAAATTAGAAGAAATCCCCGAAAGAGAAAAATGACCAATGAAATATGGATGAATGACACCCTACAGGAAAGCTAGTTTTCTGTTCTTCTATAGCCCTGTCTTGTATTTATTCTTGACATTATCCTGACACTTGGCTCAAGAATGTGCTTTGTTTTGAAAACCAGTTAAATGGAGCGGCAGCAGTCTATTTATTCATGGGTTATTAAACTGATTTAGAAGAAAGGGACTCGGTATTCGAGGAGAGCAAACAAATTTAAAATGTTTAGTTGATTAATAGCTACCCAGTGAATTAATCTCCAAAAACCTTATAAAATGGACAATTTTACACTGAGAGAACTGGTACAATCTAATGGAAAACCAGAGAACAGGGTTATCGCTAAAATATTCCCACTTCCAAGAGCTTGTCAAAAGGAAGACATTGTTTTCCCATGACCCTTGAAAATGGACAAGTCTCTTACATTTCTGAAGAAACAATAATGGAGCCAGATTATTTTTCTCTCTCTTCAATTCTGATTGACTACAGTATATGTACATCTTTGGGTTGCATATCAGTATGTGTTAATCTCTTATAACATGGTTTTTGTCAAGCTAACTTTGCTCAGTCAAACATTCCCTAAGATCTTTTTTCAGGACTAAAGATAAATCTTTTGATACCTATTTCTTGTTCACTTTGTTCTATCTTGCATAATTACCTTAATCCCAGCAACTGTGTATGTTTGTGTGTGCGCATGTGCATGCACATACACACACACACTTCAGCCTTTTCTTAGATTCCTATCATATTTGTAGTTTTACACCAAGCATAAAAGCACTCATCCAATTCTTTCCTAGCATTTTCAGGGTTAAAGCCCGCCATTTATTTTATTTCCTCTAACTGTCTTCTCCATTTCTCCATTCTAAAAGTATTGGAAAAGACTGAACATTCTGAGAATTATAGTCACAATAAAAACAAGGTTAAAAAAGAAAAAAACAAGGTTAAAAAAGACCATTTGCCCTGCACACCCAGAGAGTATTTGATCACCTTGGTCAGAGGTAGGCAACCTTGGCTCTTTTATGACTCATGGACTTCAACTCCCAGAATTCCTAAGCCACAGCTGGCTCAGGAATTCTGGGAGTTGAAGTCCAGGAGTCATAAAAGAGCCAAGGTTGCTTACCCCTGACCTTGGTGATAGCCCCCCAACTGTACTGGTGCTTCTAAATTCCTTGGCAGTTTTTGTTATTATTGATTTGATTTGAAGTAAGTGAGGTTGCTAGGATCTGGAGGTTCTGTTTTGCAGCATTTTGTTAACTCTTTGGGCATTACCAAAAGCATACTGAGGGACTTTTGCTCAGCTTTTGGAGTTCCTCACCCTGGAACCACCTCCCAAAGTTCTGGATGGACTCCAACTTGTTAATATTGAGGAAGGTAGTAAAAATAGTTCTTATATAGAGCTTTTGACTATAAGATCATCAATTAGGTCAGTGATGGCGAACCTTTTAGAGACCGAGTGTCCAAACTGCAACCCAAAACCCACTTATGCATCATCGGGTGCCTGGTGGGTGTGGCTCATTGGTTGGGTGTGGTCCATTGACTGGGTGCGGCCAATTGGGGGGTCTGGGCCATTGGGTGGGTGTGGCTGTGGTGATAAAGGCAGACTGGGTGGGACTAAAAAGTTCAATCAATTCCAACTTTGCAAGATCTTTTTTTTCCCACGACAAGTTGAAATTGACTGATTGATTGAACCTTTTTTTTTTTTTGCACATGGCAGCGGAGGCCTAAAGCAAAAAGGTTTTATAAAACCCAGCTGAAGGCCTAGAACTGGGGCGACGGCGCGCGTGCCCACAGAGAGGGCTCTGAGTGCCGCCTCTGGCACCCGTGCCATAGGTTCGCCACCACTGAATTAGGTGAACAGCAATACATCAGGTCAGTAGTGCAGGGTTGTTGTTTTAGTCAGTCTATTATTTACAGAGCAGGGCCTGTACAATTAGCCCATCCCAGTGGACTTCCAGAGAAAGCTTGGGGTTTTCCCTGAGGATCTGGTAGACATTTTGGCTGAGGCCCTAATCTCTGCTTGGAATGGAGCCTTGGATCATATCACTCCTATGTGATCTGTCCCTGGAGTGCACTTCGGTTTATGGAGCAGCTCTGGGAGATGAAGTGCCAGCAGAGATGCATGGAGTACTGCTGGAGGAAGACTCAAAGTAAGTCTAACTGGGCACAGGTAAGAGCCCATATCAAGTATTATCTTGTAATAAGAATGTCCTTATTGCATCTGTTGATAACCATCCAGTGGCCCTGTTTAGAGCGACCTTTTCCCTATTGGGTAGGGAAGGCCCCCTAGAATATCTGCTAGCCTGTTGTGAATATTATTCAGGCTAGCTGGTAGATAGTATATGTGTGAATTCAGGCAAAGGAGTCTTTTGTAACTGACAGATGAACATTTTGTCAATGTATAGATTTTCTAAGTGGCATCCAAGATTTTTGAGCATGGCATCCAATGTGCCAATAACTGACCACCATGGCTGGTTTATGCCATAATCTTTCAACTTCGATTTATAAGATCTTGATACTCTGTGATCTTCTCCAATTGTTTGTCTTTTATTCTATTATCCCACAGTATTGTCACATCAGTTATCCACACTTTCTTCCTTCCAATCAGAGTTACATCTGGTGTGCTATAAGGCAAGACTTTATTAGTTTGTATTCACAAATGCCAGAATATTTTAACCTGCTCATTTTTTACTACTTTCTCAACTAGATGCTCCTACTAACTTTTCATTACAGCAACATAATTTTGACAGATTTTCCAGTGAATCACTTTGCCAACTGTGTTATTTCATTGTTTATAATCAGTTTGTGCTATCTTCTTGCATAAACTGAGTACACGAGCTACTGCTTCTTCTACTTCTATTTCTTTTCACAATCTACAATTTGAATCATTTGATTATTTTTCAGTTCTGCCCTCAGTTTCTTTTTTAATGTTCTAGTTATAAACCATTGCCAGATTTTATCTTTATCCACTTTCCCCTCAATCTTCACAATGTAATGCTCTTCCTTGCCAGCATTCTGTCCATGTTTGTGTTACTTTATCTCAATATTCATGCTTTGTTTCCTGTACATTCAGTAAGTTCCATTTTTTAAACTTGCATCAATGCTTGTTCTGGGTATATTTTACATATTCAGCCAATGCATGGTTTTCCCCTTATAATATTATAAAAATAATACACCAACCTGTTTGGAACTGGAGGGTTAGATGCTACCTTAATAATTCTTAAGTCCTTGGATAGGACTTCAATTATTAAGTTTCCACCAATCATACACTGTGAATCTAACTGTAGATTTTATTATTATTATTATTATTATTATTATTATTATTATTATTATTGACATCGACAACAACAACAACAACAACAAAACAACAACAACAACAACAACAACAACAACAATAATAATAATAATAATAATAATAATAATAATAATAATAATAATACAGGTAATCCTTGAGGTACAACTGGTCATTTAATGAACTTTAAAAATTACAACCGATAACCCCCCAACCCAGAAAAAGCTACTTATAATCCCATTTCAAAATTACAACCACTACAGCAGGCCTGTGGTCATTCACCCTTACGATCCACCACAGGGTCCCTGCAGAGCCCTCCCATCTCTCTCCCCCCATTCCACTCATCCCCACAAGGAGGGTAGGCCAAATGTCCCTAGATCCAAATGCAGCTGCCATTTTGTCCCTCCTCATTAACCGGTTGAAACAAAATGGTGGCCGCCAAGAAACTGCTTCATTTTTCTGCCTTAGAGAGGTGCGCAAATGGGGCCACTAGCACCTGTGAAGGTTGTACAGCTGGTTTGCACCTGCGCAGGGGGGCTGGCAGCAGGTAGCACCTGTGCACATGCGCAAACTGGGCCACTAGCACCATGTGGGTGCACACAGTCCTGTTTCTGCATGCACGCGCGTGTGCACACGCACAAATTCCCCAGCTGCTCCCTTTCCCTCCGGGCTGCCAGCACAAAAAGTTTGGTGACCTCTGCTTTAGTTGGTGTTGGCCTTCATATGCAAAAGTTTTATTTTACATCCTATATTATATAACATCTGTTAAAAAAAACTCTCATAAAAAGATCATTTATGGATTTAGAGTTAGTTATAATAATATGCTGATGATATGTGACTGTACTTTTGCTTCTGTGAGACTTCCAAGACTAGGTATCTTGCCAGTTCCTAATTTCACAGGAGTGAAAAGGAATGCAGATAAGAAAACAAACTGTAGCTGAATTTGGACAAGGTGGAGTTGTTGTGGTTCTGGGGACTAGACTTCAGGATTTCAGAAATGTGCCAGAAAATGATATAGTCACTTTTCCCTTTAATGATTAAATTCACAGCTTAGAGATCCTCCCATATCTGGAACTGAGGCTGTACAATCATGCAGTACTAATACAATCTGAAGAAAAATCAACGTCATGGCTCATGTGCCGCTTTTGGAGAAAATCTATCTGGCATGAGTGACTGGTAACTTCAGAATTATATTATTCCTTTTGAAGATGGTCTAGAAATTGCAGCTGGTCAAAACTCTGGCAGGGTAGGTGATAAATAGTGCTTTCCAGCAATACTACAATACCTCCATGCCAAAATAATTGCACAGGTTATGAGCTGCACTTTGCACTTTATGAGCTGGTCTTTGAACTCAGTGCACCCTGCTCATTATATGTATGAAGATTAATATGGTTTGGGCATGTTATTTTACAGATCCTACTACATTTTTGGCTAACATTAAGAACTACTTCCATTTTCTTCCATGCATATTTTCCATAACTTAATCTAAATAAAAAGGTCATTATAATTACATGCTTTTTTTTGCCTTATATCCCACAATCACAATCAGTAGTTCTTTTTTGAATACTGAAAACTCACCACACTTTGAGAAGATGACACTTTCATAGTTTCTGACACAATTAGGTGCCTTTTGCCTGCTCTCAATAGTTTAATCTGCTTTCTAGGAGAGAAAGAAATATAAATATAAATGCATATATGTATGGATGCACACATGTACACATATATACACAAATACACATATACAAACACTTCCATAAAGTATATTTATATCTATAAAAATGAATCAAAAATATGAATGATTTATGTTGAAAGATTGGAGACTTAATGAAGTCTGTAAGGGTAACTAGAAGTTCTGAATGTGAAATAGATCATTATTTGGTAATATTGGCAGAATGCTAATCAAAAGAGAACAATGAGCAACATTTGGGAATCATGTGTGGATTTTGTGCTAAGCAGAAGATGCATATTGAGAAATGTATTAATATGAGAAATAAAATATATTGTACATTTCATGATTAACAGAAAATGTATAATTGAGCAAATAGGCTTGAATTATAAAACATTTTGCATAGAATATGGAGGTGAAGGTTGGTTGTTGAATGAAATAGAGCAATCCTCCTGTTTTCATAATGCTCTTCCCCACACCCATCAATATCCACTATTATCCATGCTGATATATTAGCTTCTTGTAAATAGTGGAAAAAACGGTGTGAAAACAATATTATTCATGGCTTTCTAGAAAACCTGGCAATGATGCCGAGGCCAATAAGACCATAGATATTTTCAGTCACCTAATCATAGCATCAATGTTACATCTACACAAGATGTCTATATCTGTACCTGTAGCAGACTAAGATGTTAAATACATATCCAATGCATGTGATAGAAGCAATAACAGTAGTAATAATCCAAATTCCTGTAAAACAAATAACATACGGTAATTCAGAGATGATTCCCTCAAAATTCTCACCATGTCCTAATGCAGTAGTCACGGTAAAATACAAAATTACCAAATAGCCCATATATATTTTTTAGTCTCTTTTATCTTTGTTTCTTCTTTTTACATTGGGACATAGTTACTCATTAATTTCTTAATGCCTGCATCTTTTTGTAATTTTGAAATGTTATAATATTTTGTTTTTCGTTATCCAGTTATAGATATTCATCAATGCTAATGTTTAGGTTAGATCTAAGTAACATTCTGAACAATTCTAATTAGTCAGATGTGGGTGTCAGCTAATGGAATAGATCTGGGCACATTCAAATCCAAGTCCACACTCACTGGTGCCTGTGGATCAACTGCCATCTCTCTGTCCAATCTATCTCATGTGATTGCAGTATGGGGAATAAGACAAAAGGAGGGAACACTATTCCTTAAAGAATGACAGAATATTAATCTAACAAATATAAATAATGTAAATGCTGTTGTAAATGTCTTTTATGTCTTCCTGTTTGTCTAAACCAGGGATCTCCAAACTTGGCAACTTTAACTTCAACAGCATGGGTGGCTGCGGAATTCTGGGAGTTGAAGTCCCCAAGTCTTAAAGTTGTCAAGTTTGGTGACTCCTGGTCTACACTACAACATAAATGTGACTTTCTAAACCTGAAAGCTCCCTAATGAATCTCTTAAATAAAGAAAGGCCTGAACGATCAGAAGAAAAGATGACTTGGATCAGCCCCATGGCTATCAATCCACATTCTGTATCCCAGAGAAGTCGATCAACACATTCCAGAAACAAGCACCGACAAGAGTTTCTTCACCCACTGTGATTGCCTAGGAGTTGATGCAGAAATTGGCAAAAAAAGGTCTATTCTAACTCCCTTATCATTTCTGTTGCCTTTATTTGCTCTTCTGCTGATGCAATCATTTCTAAATATCTTACTCATGCTAGAAATGACAAACACCTTAGTCTTTTAGGGAGTGCAAGGAATGAAACCTGCTAAGAGAAAAAAGCCTCCTGATCAGCTAGAGGTTACAGCTCATTTTCAGGTCAATGCTACAGCCATAAGGTTTGAAAGCCAATTATAGTTTGCTCCCAGAATTGCATCCACATAGGGCTATCTAAAAAAGAAAATATAAGAGGATCTATTACAGTGTTTCTCAACCTTGACAATTTTAAGGCAGGTGGACTTCAACTCCCAGAATTCCACAGCCAGCAATGCTGGCTGTGGAATTCTGGGAGTTGAAGTCCACCTGCCTTAAAATTGTTAAGGTTGAGAAACACTGATCTATTACCTCAAAGACCAAGGAAATCTGATGAAAATAGTTCTGTTGAACATTTGAGAGATTTTTGCTAGTCATCTTGCAAGGACAAAAGGAAACCAGCCTAATGGCTGCACCTAAACAGCAGAAATTTCTGGCACCAGTGAGTAATTACCTCATACTGTGCTATATCTTCCTGCATTCATTCCACAATCTTTTTAATATAATTGCCCTACATCTTAAAATACTGTATATACATTTTAAAATACTGTATATACATTTTAATTATTCCCTGATACCATGAATATTGAAAAAAAGAATACATCCTCCATATACATACATACATACATACATACATACATACATACATACATACATACATACATACATACATACCTTCCAGCTGGAAAATGCTCATACCATAGGCAATCTGGATGTGAAAACTTTAGGAAAGAAATTTATCTTATATTTGGGGGAGCTGTCTATGAACTTATTTATTTGTATGACATTCACATTTTACATGCACACACACAGAGAGACATAGAAATAATGCTAGTATAATATAGTCTACCTAACCATCAACTGAAGCCTCTGGGAAGGAGGGTCAATGGAGAATATAACATCTCCTGAGAAGTCAATGGATGACAGCCACTTTTCTACTCTACTGAAGAAATAGTGTCCTTCTCCTTTTACCTTATTCGGCTTAGTAAACCATGCTCGGTTCCAATAAGGAAGATGATTCTGCCAAAGAAGTTTGTTCAAGTTCAATTTTAGAGACTTGAGGTTCCAGCCCTTCAAAAAGGGCATTTTCCAACCTAGTTTCTCCTCCTCCCATTGAGGAAAGAAAGAATGGATGTACAAGAGATGTTGGCTGGTTTTTTTTCTTCAAGCACTATCAGGTTTTTGTTTAGGGGCTACATTATTAGAAGTTATGTCATTCTCTTTTTCAATACACTATACCACTCATGGAAAAGTAATGTTATATTCAGAAAATATTATGCCTTTACCTTGTACGACATGAATAAACTCTTCAATGTCATGGATCCATGATTCATTTTCCGAATTTGGAATATTTTCTTTAAAGAACCCAAGCAAGTCTTTGAGTATGTTCAAAAGCAAATTGGCCGCAATATATTCTGTCACAATAAACTGAAAGAGAAATGAAAGATACTGATGGATAAAGTCTGAAGTGAAAATTATAGGATAATATAAGATAATAATAGATACCTTTAGGGATTCCCATGAGGTCAGAATCCATTCTCAATTGACCTGTAGACCTTCACACCTACAGTAATTTAAGTTGGGGGAGATCTATTAGCTAAAACCCTCAATAAAAATAGCTCCTTTCTCTTAAGGTTAAATAGCAAGGGAGGAATTTCCTGGAGACTTTTTATATTTTCTCCCAGAAACACAGATTTGCTATAAGCAAAGAAAAAAATAGATCTAAGCTCTCCTCCACCCCATATTTCCTAGATTACAGGAGGGGATCCAACCCATGCAGACTTCTAAAAGTATTGAGTAACTTGATAGAACAGGGGTGTCAAACTCAATTTCATTGAGAGCTGCATCAGCATTGCGATTGCCCTCGGGGGAGCAGGTGGGTTTGGCCAGGGTGGGTGCGGCCTACTGGGTGGGCGTGGATGCAGTGGGTGTGGCCTACTGGGTCGGCATGGCCAGCTCTACATCGTTCGCGTCAAGGATGCCTGTCGGGGCCTGGGCAGGAGTGGGACAGATCTGAGGGTCTCTGGCAGGTGGTGGGACCGGGGCAAACGCCAAGGCATGGTCCATTTCTTCATTCCTCACAAAGAATGACACCTCCCCAGCATGCACCCAGGGGGCAGGGCCGACACAGCAGGGGCTGGTTCCTTGCTGTTCCTAAACGGCCTTGTGGAGCTAAAACTGAATGCGTTTCAGCATAGATGGCCACCACAAAATTGTATATTGGGTCCCGGTCGGCCTGGGCCAGGGCCAAGGCAGTGGGGGCCGTTCCCTCAGTTTCCAGGATGGCTTCGCGGGCCACATGAAACCACTTCGCAGGCCGCATCCGGCCCCCGGGCCTTGTGTTTGACATGTCTGTGATAGAGTGTCATTAGTCTTGCTTTTATTTTGTATGTGCTCAGGGCAAATCATGCAAAATTAGCTTCTTCTCTGGGTTCATCATCTTAATCATCAACTTAGATGGAATTTCCTTTGTTGATTAAGAGAAAATGTTCCTTTGTTCATACTTCCCCTTATGGAGTCTAATCCTTTCTTCAACTCTAACGCTTATTTTTATTTGCTGTTAACATACTCTAAACACTAGTTTACAAAGATATTTTTGGTGCCAATGTTTTTGTACATGTCATGAGACCTATGTCTCTCTAGATAGGCTCATTCTGCCCTTGTGGTCCACAACTAGCAGAAGGGGAAAACTGTCAAGTCCCTGCCAGAATGCTGCCATTCCAAGAGGAGGGGGAAGTGTTACTTGGGGATTGAAGATGTTTCTTCTGTCAGTTTGATGTATCTACATGGGAATTGGGGAGGGGGAAATGGTTGGGCTCCTTTCTGGCTAACTCATGTGTGTTAGCAAGGCCATGGTGCCAGAGAATGACTTGTTATCCCACAACAACTTCACGCCAGTGGATTGGTTCTTGATGGGACTGGGGCAATGGGGTAGGGTTTGAACAGTGGGAAATTAGCTTAATGTTTCACGCGGGAACATCAGATTCTACCTGACTTCTCTGCAATCACTTTCTCTCAGTAAAACTTCCTTTTGAAATAATGCTTGTTTCAAGAGTCATGCTTTCCTGAGAAGATAGCTGAAGCAGGACTTTACATTAGGCAGAATCTGCAAAGTGGTCAACCTGGAAAGGCACCTGCCCTACCGTGGGGACTGTGCAATGTCTAACCAAGGCAGTGACCGGAAGGAAACCGAATGCTGGGGAGAAGCCTCTGCTAAGGCTGATCCCGGCACGAACTCCACCAGATGGACAGAGGACACTGCCAGCCTAAATGACTCATCTAAACCGAGATGGTCCATAGGTATGGGGAAGAGAAACGATTGGGAAGGGAGAATGAAAGGAGTCCCCCTTACCCGAGGCAGCCGCTGTAAAGGATGGAGAGAGAAGTTGGAGGTGATGGACGACGAGGGGCAAGGAAACGAACCTGACCATGCTGACCTCCTCATGAGGCAGGCAATGCACTTCACGATGGAGGTATTCCAGAACCTGTAGGCGCAAGACGCCGCAGGACTGATCAGAGAACGGAAGGGGGAAACCCTCACCACAGAGTGCACAATGGGGGCAAGCAACACAATGGCGGGAGCAGCAGCAGCACCAACGGTGTCTCCAGAAAGGGATTCCAGGGGAGCGAACGAACCAAGAATTGGCAATGGTGGGGCTCACCAACGGGACCGAAAAGCACCTCCTCGGGCATGAAGTTTGATGGAGACCCACAGCAGCTTGCGTTCTTTCTAGCCCACATCCTTACGTACATGCAGGAATACAGCCATGAGATCCCTACTGAGGGAACCAGGGTCAGGGTTGTCACCCTAGCACTAGAGGGAACCTCAGCCAGATGGATGGTGACCCTCTACAAGGCGAACACTCTGGAGCTGTGGAATTTCAATCAGTTTATGACAGCCCTGAGATGGCGATTCAAGGACTCCCTGGCCAACTGAAAAGCCCATGATCGCATAAAGATGGTGTGACAGGGACGCTGCCCAGTAGCCGAATATATCAAGGAGTTTCGAGATCTGGCATGCACCTCGACTGGCTGGAAGACATCCTTGTAAGTTGCTTCAAAGGTGGGCCAAACAACGACCTGTACAATGCTTGCATCTCAAGAGGGGCCCCAGTATGCCTCCACGATTGGTGCGTGCTGGCTGAAGAAGCAAAGATTGAGCAAGCCCGAAATAAGTACTGCTGCAGCAAAATCTGGAAAAGGTCACCCCCAGAGAGGAAGAGGGAAGCAGCCAGACCCCAGTCCCAACAAGTGTGTTCCACCGCCTGTTTCAAATGCAAAAGAAGGCCACCATGCAGCCAAATGCAGAGCAAAGACCCTGGTAAAGAAGGGAGACCAGGCACCACATAAGAAACCAGCGAAGCTGCATTCCGGCATGAAGGAGGCAGCTCTGATAAGCACGGAGGTTGTGGCGTTCACCTCCTCACCCAAATGGAGGGGGAGGGGGAGAACTCCAACCCCACCAGAGGAAGACTGAACAATTTTGGGCCGTATGGGAGAAGGAAACGTATGCTGTTAAGTGGGCCCTTCTCTCCTGGAGACATTTCCTAGAGGGGAGTAAGATCCCATTCCAGGTCTGGATAGATCATGAAAATCTGGAAGCATTAAAAACCCCTTGGAAGCTGTCCCCTAAGCAAGCACGATGGGCCCAGCACTTCCAATATTTTAATTTCATCCTGTGCTATTTACTAGGGGGAAGAAATTCTTGGGAGATGCTTTGTCAAGAATGCCACAATAGCACTAAGGTAGAAATAATCAAGCCATTATTCCCATTATGTCAGCTGGCAGCCCAGATAATCACAAGGGTGCAGTGAAGGGAAAAAACACCCATGGACAATGCTACCGCAGAGGATTTTAAGAAAGCATTAGAAAGAGACGAGTTGTTCAGCAGCAACAAAAATATCTGCTCTGCGCAAGATAGACTGGCCTGGGTAGGTAAGAAACTATACGTACCTACCAGTCAGAGACTAAAAACCATGCAAATCTGCCACGACTGTAAATTAGCGGGACACTTTGGGTTTGTGAAAACCCTGCGTCTCCTCAAAAGACAAGTTCTGTTGGCCCTCACTCAAAAAAGACATTGAGAGTTATGTTTCCAGCTGTCCAATGTGCGCAGCAGCGAAACGGAGGCAAGGGAAAACACCAGGGCTTCTGCAAACCATAGCTGAGCCATCAGCACCCTGAAGAGAGATTTCCATAGACTTTATTGTAGAACTTCCCCAAAGTGTGGGAAACACTGTAATCTGGGACATAACTGACTGTTCTCCAAACATGTCCACTTTGTTCCCTGCCAAAAGATTCCCACGGCCAAGGGGTTAGCAAAAATGTTCTTGCACCATGTGTACCGCCTACCTGGAGCACCACAATGCATCATCTCCAATAGAGGGGTTCAATTCACATCAAAATTTTGGAGAGCCTTTATGGACCTGTTAGGTACTGACCAAGGACTCCGTTCTAGTCATCATCCACAAACAAATTAGGGGACAGAACAAACAAACTCAGTTCTAGAGCAATACCTTCGCTGCTTCATCAACTACCAGTAGGACAACTGGACTGACCTCCTGCCTTTTGCCAAAGTAGCATACAATAACACTGTACACACCAGCACAAGGTTCACACCTTTCTGAGTAGCAACAGGCCAAGATTTCAACCCGATGTCTGAATTGCCAATTAAAGACCCAGCCATCCCTTCTTTAAAAAATACCTGGCCAGTGGTGCGCAAAGTTCTTGCTGAGGCTAAAGCAACTTGCAAAGCTCAGGCTGACAAAAAGAGAGTGGAACTTAAATCAATCCCACACTGGGGACCGCGTGTACCTGTCTACAAGGTTCCTTCAGTCCCTACAGCCTTCAAAAAAGTTAGGGCCAAAATTTGTAGGGCCTTTTCCCATAAAGCAAATCATCAACCGAGTCACAGTAGAATTGGAGTTGCCTAAGTCATTGAGGAAAGTCCACCCATTTTCCACTGCAGTCTATTAAAACTGGAGGTTATTTCACCTTTAAGGCCAACACCCTCTCCGATACCTAAACCTCTTATGGTGGAAAGGGAACAAAACTTTGGAATCAGGGAAATCCTCAATTCATGCACACATAGAGTCACCCAGTACTTAGTAGCATGGAAATATCTCCCTGGGGCTCAAAATGAATAGGTACAGAAGAAACGTATTAAAGCCCCTAGACCAGCGGTTCCCAACCTTTTCTATACCCCGCACCCCTAGAACGCTTCTGATATATTCTCACACCCCTTACAAAAGTAATATCTAGTTATGCATATACACTATAATTTTGAAATTTCTAAACCTAAGTTTTCGCACCCCCTGGAATATCATCTCACATCCCCAACGGGTGCAAGCATCCCCAATTTGGGAACCCCTGCCCTAGACTAATTAAACGTTTTCATGACTGCTATCCGGATAAACCTATATAAAAGTGTGTTGTTTTCTCTTGTTCCCTCATTATTATTTTCTCCAGGTGGAACTCCCTTCTTTTTAGGGGGGCAGCATGTCAGATCCTTGCCGGAACGCTGCCATTCCAAAGGGAGGGGGAAGTGTTACTTGGGGATGAAGATGTTTCTATATTGTTTCTTCTGTCACTTTGATGTATCTGCATGGGAATTGGGGAAGGGGGAATGGGCCATCAGGGCCATCTGGTTAGCCTCCCTTCAAGCTAACTCCTGCATGTTACCAAGGCCGCAGCACAGAGAACAATTTGTTATCATCTTTTCTGCTCGAAGTTCCCACAACAACTTTATGCCAGCGGATTGGTTCCTGATGGATTGGGACAAGGGGGTGGGGTTTGAACAATGGGAAATTAGCTTAATGTTTTGCATGGGAACTTCAGATTCTGTCTGACCTCTCTGCAATCACTTTCTCTCAGTAAAAGTTCCTTTTGGAATAATGCTTGTTTCAAGAATCATGCTTTCCTGAGAAAATAGCTGAGGCAGGACCTTACAAAGGCATTTTTTCCCTTTGCCCTGTTTCTATAACCTGACAAGTACAGGAAAAGATGTGGCAACAGAAGCTAATTGAGGATCATAATTACTGCATCTCCCCAGACTATCCTGGTTGGTGGGCAGGCAGAATATTTATATAGGAATTGCTTCTGTGCTACTTCAAGTACAGTAAATAACATGGCTTTGCTACATTCACATAGCTTACAAGATATAATATTAAGATACAATATAGTTTGTGTCTTAACTGTTACATAAAGCCAACTAATTGTGATTATCAAGTACAATAAGTATTGTTATTCAGCAAAGCATGTTTAAAACAAATGTTGCTTGGCTTGATGGATGAACTTAATCTGCGACAAATAGCATTGCACGTGACTACTACAATCCTAGATTAAAGCTATATGAGAATTAGTCTAGAAATTAATTTCTAATTGATCTTTCCTTTAATAAAAAATGTTCTTCTATTTCTAGGAGTTCATCCACTTGCCTTCAAATTATTCACATATATACAGTCTATTTTAAAATCTAATTGGTGAGAGGTAATTAAATTGCATGTGAGTGTGTCTAAAATACATGTTTCAAAGACTCTGGCCCCATCAGCTGTTGGTATGCAGTCCCATTGTATTTTCCCAGAATCAGTTAAGCCCTTGGGTCAAAATAGGTACAATTCATATGAATAACATACAGCTTCACTTGAGAAGAACAAGAGGAGAGACAATAGTGAAGTATTCTCATATGCCTATCAACTTGGGATAAATTAAATATTAGAATTGAGCTCAGAATGCAAAACATAGCATGCACTACAGCTTAGCTTCAATAATCAACACCTGTTCTTTGGACTACGATAACATCTGATCCCCAGAACGCTTTCAGTTCAAAGGTGATTTGATTCGACCAAAAGCAGCAGTGACTTCCTTGTTAAAAGCATCATGTATGGACTTTCCTTACCATGTAAAGACATAGGAACATAACGACAACTGTGCTGATTATTCTGCTGGGGAATTTAAAGTAGGGGTCCCATTGATATAACTTTCTCTTAATCCAGTTTTTCTGGGGATGCCTGTTGATAGATCATAATAGAAGGGGGTTAAGTAACAAACAAACAAAAAAAATCAGGTCATTCTCCAAAGCTGCTTTGCATGGGATAGAAGAAAGCCCATTTCCTTTCTTTCTCTAAATTTGAAACTCTCAAAACTTTGCCTATTTCTATGAACAGAACCCTTATTGTGAGGGCCTTTATCCCTCTCTGTGGCTGAACTGTAGATAGCAATAGCAGTAGAACTTACCACTTCACATTGCTTTACATCCCTCTCTAAGCGATTTACAGAGTCAGCGTATTGCCTTGAACAATCTGGGTCCTCATTTTACTGACCTCGGAAGGATGGAAGGCTGAGTCAACCTGAGCCGGAGAGGATTGAACCCCTGGCAGTGCACTCTAACCACTGCACCGCCACGGCTCTGATGAGATTATGAGAATATATGAATGAGAACAAAAACAATGACAGAATATGGGTGACCAATGCTCTCCCCCCCCCACCAAACTGCTTTTGCACAGTGTCTCCATTTGTGAACTTTCCTGCCAGCTTCCCATAAGCAAAGTCAATGAGGAAGCTGGTAGGGAAGATTGCAGGTTGCTCTGGTAAGTCACACTCACCCTCCCCTTCACAGGCCACTCATGCATATTCACCCTCCCAGCAAAAGCCACCTAGCCCCACTGCCCTCGCACCATACCTTACTTGCTGCTGATCTAATTTGGGGACTCACTTAACAACCTGCAATCCTCATTTAATGATGGAAGTGGTGAGTGCTGGGATTGTTGTTGCCAAGCGATGCAATCACATGATATCATGCTTTACAACAGTGGTTCTCAACCTTTTTAATGCCGCGACCCCCAACCAGTCGTAAGTCGAGGATTAAACCGGTCGTAAGTCGAGGACTAAACCGGTCATAAGTCGAGGACTACCCAATCGGTCGTAAGTTGAGGACTTTCCCTGCCCGGGAGCGCCGCGCATTCGTGGTTCCGCCCCCTGCGCCGGCCGAGGCGTAGCTGGCAAGCGGCAGAGACGGAGCAGGCCCAGCTCAAGGGAGGTAAGGCACCCGCTGGAAAAGGGGGAAAAAATGGCGGACAGCCTTGCTTGGCGACCCCCGTGAAATGGTCGATCGACCCCAAATGGGGTCGCGACCCATAGGTTGAGAACCGCTGCTTTACAACATGACATAGGGATGAAAATTCCAGTCCCAATTACTGTCATTAATTGAGGACTACCTATAAACAACATTGTCAAAATATTTCTCTGTTCATCAAAATGTCACCAAGAATCAAAGCATCAGGACAACATGTCACTTTATCAGCAAGATTTTATGGGTTTTGCTGAGGATCCCAAGGGTGCAAAGGTTAACATATTTATTCCAGGGTAAGCTTTTCAGCAGTACAGTCCATATTCTTACATGCATACATGCATCTGATGGCTATACCAAATCAAACCGTAAGTCAAAACGGGAGATTCTAGATGCTTTTCAGCTAATCTTATCATTTTATGGAAAATGAGCCTAGCTATTCCTCTGTTGACAGAAGGATTTTGCACTGAAAAAAAGAAAAAAGAATTATCAGAATATGTCAAAGAAATATAGCTCCAAGGACAAAAGGATTCTCACCTAAGCACAGGCTTTCTCAGCAACTGCTGGACATACTGCGACTGGTGTTCTTCCATAAAAGAATCTTTCTCCTGTATTGTAAATATAGTGTCTTTACAAACCAGGAATTACAAACCTAGCACATGTGCATGTGTGTGTGTGTGGGTTTATTTTTAGGGACTGAAAAAAATAAATTGGACACATAATATTAACCCAGGTTTATTTCTGCTACTGCACATAACTGATAAAGAGCATGTTTAGACCACTGCAAATAATGCAACATGCCTGGCTGAACTGTTATTCAGAGCACATCAAGTGATTTAATACACTTCTTCTGCTTTTAACTGAGACCTCAGGAAAGTGTCATGGAAATAGACTTTAACACAAAAGATGGCAGCAATGGAAATCAAGAACAGAATGAGTGGATTTTTTTTTTTAAAGAACCTACAGGCTTATGGATGTGATTATATTATCGAATAAAAACATTGGAATGGATAATACTGGATTATAACTGTGGGCGGCCTTGCAATAATTGGTGTCTCATCTTTTCTGCTTCTTCACAGTGCTTTGCTATCATCTGTGTTATGCTTTTCTGTTCAGGGCATTGTTGAAAGAAAGCAGGTGAACATTTTGGATGTCCCTGCAAATACTATAGTATAATAACACATACTGGCCTTATTTCAATGTCTCCAATTGTACAAGAGCAGGCACATTTTTCCATGGAAGTCTTAGAGTATCTTCCTTGTAGTAATGCCAAAGAGAAGTTATTATACATAATGTAGTCCAGAAGAAAGCTTTCTTTAGTTTGGGAAATGTCGAGAGGTAGTTGGTCATTCCCCAGGAACCCTTTGCCCTATTTCTCTAAACTATTTACTTTCATCTGAATTTTGATATCATTTACAAGTAGTCCTTCTTCACAACTACTTATTTAGCAACTGTTCAGAATAATGACAACACTGAACAAATGAGACGACTGGTCCTCAAAGTTATGACCATCGCAACATCCTGACAGTCATGTCATCGCAATTCAGATGCTTGGCAACCAGCTCTCAACATGCACTGCAACATCCTATGGTCACATGACTGCCCTTTGCAACCTTCACTGTTGGCTTTCAAAAGCAAAACCTCTGGGGATGCTAGCTGGAGGTCACAAATGGCAATTTTCAGTCCCAATTACTATCATTGAAGACTGCTTGTAGTTTATGTAGGAGTGTATGTTGGACATGTTTGTATCTCAACAATCCAATGTACTCTGATGGTAATCCTATTGTTCTTAGTGTTTGATGAGATTGTTCCAGCTTAGGTGGCATCATCAGCCGTTATTAATGGGAGTAGGCTGAAGGAGAAGAACTGGAGTTTTAACCAGTAATTTAACATTAACCTAACTTCAATTTTGGGCATCCCAATTTCTAACCAATGAAGGGCATTGGCAGCACGTCAGGGTGTAGCAAGAAGAATCCTAAAAAATTCAGTGTGGTCTGCCTCAAGACAGTTTTTCTCAGCACAGAGCCTCAACATTCAGAGCAGTGTTATAACTTGGAACAATTTCAAAGTAACAGGAATTAATTAATCTGCCTGAGGAATTAGAAAAGGATTACTTTCACAAGAAGGGATTATTACAATTAGCTGACCAGGCAACACTCTTGAGTGCAAAATGTGCACGGAGTGTAGGAGATGACCAGTCTGAGCCCGACGGAGGGAGGGGTCAAACACATCATCAGTCTCAAGCCCCTTCATGCCCACAAGAGCACACTCTAAGTCTAGCACACTCTGAATTCCATTGACTCTTATCTACCACCAATTTGCTTTGACTGTTAGTAATTCAGATTATTTTGTAGAGAGCTTAAGCTTGCAATAAGCTTATATATTCATTTAACTGCCCGGACTCCTTTTTTCCTGTGCTTGACATGGATCGAGTTAACCATAAGGCTATTACAGAATTTCTTGACACATGCTTGTTATAAAATATATCTATATAAATATAAAATATAAGTCAACACAAGCATTATTCCCTTGATTATTCTAGATATTTCTTTATTCCTACAGTTTGCGTATGTACAATGATGCTTGTGATGTAAGCACAGGATAAAAAAAAGCACAGAGCTATTATTGTTTAGAGATAATTAATGTATAATTGATTATAAGATTGAGATTGTTTTATATTTCAGCAGCACAATGGCAAAACTTTGCCCCTGCTTTTAACCACCTGCTACTGAAACACACTCTCTTGAAATGTAACCACAAACATTTAAATGTTTTCTTTAAAACTATTCAAGCTTTGCACTCGTGTGAGAAGCACCAAGGCATTTCCAGACTGAAAGGATTAGCCAGTGACATCACCATTGACCTGGAGATGCCCAGTTCAGGGCTGTGTTCATAACCTCAGCAGGAGCTGGAGTGAAGGACAAGAACTCAGTTCTGCCGAGAGCAGCACTCGGATCTTGAATCTGGGCTTGCTAACCTCCTACCCAGTGTTCCAACCATTTGAGCCACCGAGATTAATGTTGATCCTTATCTGCTACACGATTGCTTATAGCAGTGGTGGCGAACCTATGGCACGCGTGCCAGAAGCAGCACTCTGAGCCCTCTGTGTGGGCATGCGTGCCGTGCCCCGGAGATGGTGAGGGACTGGCCCCCGCCACCCTGGCCCCACCCATCCAGTCTGCCATGACCACCGCGGCCACACCCACCTGGCACCCGGTGATAAATAAGTGGGTTTTGGGTTGCAATTTGGGCACTGGGTCTTTAAAAGGTTCGCCATTACTGGCTTATAGCTTACAGCTAATAGCTTATAATATAAAGCTTATAATATTGAAAAAGATTTTTATTTATTTATTTATATCCTGCCTTTATTATTTTTATAAAAACTAAAGGGGTGAACATGCCTAATACTCCTTCCTCATCCTAATTTCCCTACTACAACAACAATGATAACAACACTGTGAGAGAAAGTGACTGGCTCAAAGACACCTAGCCAGCTTTCATGCCTAAAACAGATCATGAACTCATAGTCTCTTAGTTTCTAGCCCAGTGCTTTAACTACTAGACCAGATTGGCTGTTCGATATATTAAAAAAAGCATTAACTTCACGGTCATTTTTTTCTGCTCCACCTCCTTTAATAAAGAATGGTTTGCTGGTTTTGCAAATCTGAAAATCATGTGAAAGATATGACCAAGATGGACTCTCCAATTATCCTTAGGGTAGGTGTTAGATTATCTGGAGCAGTGTTTCCCAAGCTTGGCAACGTTAAGATATGTGGAGTTCAACTCCCAGAATTTCCCAGTCCGCATGACAAACACTGATCTATAAGGCTGGGGAAACGGTCAAGAACTGGGGAGTATGGTTAAATCTTAGAAGACATGATGATACCTGATTATGGAAGTCAGCTATTAAATATTCCAGAAATGTGAACGCTTTTGACCAAATTTGAAATGTTACCATTTTCATCATTAAAATGCTGGTTTTAGACCAGGGCAGGCAACCTTGGCTCTTTTATGACTCGTGGACTTCAACTCTCAGAATTCCTCAGCCAGCTTAGGAATTCTGGGAGTTGAAGTCCACGAGTCATAAAAGAGCCAAGGTTGCCTGCCCCCATTTTAGACAGAGGAATGTTTAATTATTTTAACTTTAGTTACCTTAATCACAACTAGTTATTAACCACAACTCTACTTCTCTAGGCAGTTAATAAACCTAAATAAAGCCAGAAAGCCATAACATTTATTAAAAATGGTGAAACTAGCAGATAGCTAAACGTGTGGCAGGTGAAGCATAATCTCCGTTTCCAAAGTCTTGTAGAAGCAACCATCTTTTAACTGCTTTTAAATGGCCAAATTAGTGAGTAAGAAAGGGATATAATTACAGACATGTTCTTATTTCTTAAATCAGTGAGTCTGATTTAATATTCACAATTATTTTGCAATCCTTTTTCTAGGTTTGTCTTTGGTATTCAATTGCCTTTAAAGAACTTTCATTTCATGGGAGTACAATCAAATAATCCAAATGAAATTATTAAAAGAGAGGACTTCAATGGCTACTATAAATACTCACCTCTCGGCTGTATAGAGATAAAATTCCCACTGCATTCACAAAATTAAAAAGAAAACGTCCTAGCAGAAGGAACAGGAACAGCAAGGATGGCCACATCAGAATTATGCCACTGAATTTTCCCACAGCCTATGCATGAAAAGCAGAATTACCAACTATGTTGCAGATGATCCATTCTTCTTCCTTCCCTATATAAATTCAACTTAATTTATGCAATAAATTAATTGTGAATGCTGAAGCTTGTCATGAGGTTCATACAAGAAATCTTGGGTCTTAGGGGAAGGCTGCTGTTCATTGGCAAAGGCCTAGTTTGTTCTAATCTCGTGGTCTAATGGGAAAAATCCTGCCAGTCAGCATAGATAATAACAAGCTGATGGACCAATGATCTGTCTTTATGTAAACTCAGCTATGGAGGACAAATTTACAAATGAAAGGGTATACAGCAGCTTTGTCAAATCTGGGAACTTCAACATTTGTTAGATTAAAAACTCCAATCTCTTTCAGCCAGCATAAGAGCAGATATGCTACTGATAGATATTGGAAATTGTAATCCAACTCATGTAGATTCAAAGTTGGATCCAGGGAAGGCAAGGATAGATAAATGCATAGTTGTACACATTTCAGAACTCATTAATACTTTACTACTAGCCACTGAGGACTAGGCCAATGAGCGGGCAGGGGCCACAACATGGCAGTGACAACTTGACTAGCTGCCTCGCTGCGGTCCCACCATCTGGGACGGGGCGGGTGGGTGGTTGCCCAGTGGATCTGATGAGCCGGATGACATGCCTCCCCCCCCACGTGCCTCTGCCTCCGCTTGCCACTTAAAGTGCTGGCCCAATGGCCCCAGCGCTTGAACCCACCTGCGCTGTGCAGGCCAATGAACAGCCAAGAGGCCAACAAGCTGCAGCTGCTGCCAAGAACTGCCAGCCTCCATGCGCACACCACTTCCTGTGCATACACCCAGGCGGAGTGCCTGGCCGGGCTGGGGTAGGCCAGGGCTGAAGCAGAAGGGGCTGGCCCCTCGCTATCTCCAGGGCGGCCCAGTGGGCCAGATCTAAACCCATCATGGGTCGGATGGGGCCCATGGGCCTTGAATTTGACATGTCTGCCTTAAGTGAACCTGCAATCACCATATTAAAACAGTAATAGTTGTCAAAAATAAATACTTACATCATCGGTAGGGCACTCTATAAGGTCTAAGATCGTGATAGCTGTCCTGAAAAATACATGCAGTTATTAGTTTCTAAATTGGCGGTAGAAGCTATAGAATACATACATGCATATTTGTACTACTTGTTAAGCCAAACTTTTGATGCATCGTATACTCATCACTTTCACAGTTTCTTTGATTTCTATGTTATTGGCAAAATTAGGTATTAACAGCTAATACAATTGGAAAGTTCTGTTTGGAAAAGGTTATTCTTGCATGAATGCAGATCTTCATTGGCAATGGTAAAGTTCTAATATTAAAGGCTATCTTTGGCTTAAAGAGGCTTAAAAGATGCGAGAGAAGGTCTATACCCTGGCTGTTCAAGTCCTAGCACCACGTGATGGAATAAGCTCCCATCACTTGCCTCAGCTCCTGCTAATCTACGGTAGCAGTTTGGGAACATGTAAATACAAGTAGATGAACAGATACCCCTTCAGTGGGAAGGTAACAGGGCAGTCTGATTCTCAGGTTTCAGGGCAGAGAAAGTAAAATGCAGATCTGGAGGTACCGACAGTACCTAAAATAAATTATTACGGATTTTAGCTTTATAGCAAATAAGAAATGAGAATAGTTGTTCCATCTATTCCAATTATTTTACTGATATCCAAGAAAACCTATACACATTTAGGTATGTAATGACTATAAACTCAGAACAACTCTGGAGCTCACATCAAATTCTGAGATTCAGAATTGTTTATTTCAAGGTTTCCTTTCTCCGGATTTGTAAATTTTAGAAATTTAGTTATTTATATTTTTTTTAAAAACTATCCTATGCGTTAATATCTCTGCTTCACAGTTTATTGTGGTTATTTCTGGAAGTTAGGATCTGGAAGAATGTCCACAGTTCTGCTCACCTGAAAAGTCATTTCTAGATAATATGTTTAGCATGAAATCACTTTATTATAATTTCCCGTTATATCAAGAATTGATTCCCACTTCTGCTCTGAGACACATTCTCATTCATGAGTCTTGTTAAAATTTTGCTTACCAAGCTGTTGTGTAAAGAAATCCCAAGACTGCTCCTACAACTTCATATTTTGTTAAAAGACAGACAAAGAAAGGGTATGAGGAGAGGCCCACTTCAAAAGCCATGACGATGACCCAAAACACTGCAGAAGAAAGGACATAAATATATCTTTATTCTGTTGTTGAGCAGTGAATGATTGAGAAACTTTTTTATGATAGCCACTGACCAACCAATATGGAATTACAAAGCACAGGGAGTTAACAACAGTAATAAGACAACATGTACTGATGTTAGCTCTTTAAACTTTTTGCTGAATTTTATAGACCACAAAACCATTTTTGCATCATTTAGAGAAACTGATGGATTTTTGTCGGAAAATAAATATTTCAAACAAAAGAAATCTCAGCACACTTTGAGAATTTTATCAACAGGGTTATGAGGTAAAAGTGGATATTTTTGTAACACTGATAACATAAAAGTCATACACTGTGGTTTCAAGACTCCAGCGCCTGAAGGATAATGTCTAGCCACTTAAGGAATATTCCTAAATCTCCTCCCCATGAGCAGTATGATGGGGAGGGTTAAGGCAAGTTATGGATAAGGCTCTTATGAAATTTGGAGGTGTAAATTGACATAGATATTGGGCTGGTCTTACGTGTAAAGGTTGATGATTTGTGTACATTTCTTTAGGGGGAAGAGACCTGTTATATTTGGCTTTCTGTAGCTAATATCCAACACCTTTACTTGGCATTCTCCAATTTCATTCTCAAGAGCACGTCTCTAGAGCAATCATCACCATTCCATTTCTAACGGAGTGATCTTTTCCATTTTGAACTGAAGTTGACAATTAATCAGACCAGATCCACCAGGTAAAAGGATAAGCTTAACTGATAAGTAAACATTTTTAATCAGATAAATGTTCTCCAGTAATTCCAGCTTTCTGAACAAGTACCATGTTTGCCGCAGTCAGCAACTTGAAAAATATGACATAGAAATCTGTATCACAGGCTGTCTAAAAGGGCAATGTTAGTTATATGGTTCCAACTGGACATGAGCTTTTAGCTAGAAATAACTTTAATGTTGCAGGTATAAACTATGCGCCGCTCATGAAATGAAAGGATTTTTCAGTTGAGGCTGAGCTTAAGGTATTTTGAGTTACATAATCCAAATGAGCACACCCTTTTCTCATTGTCTGAAAAATCACATGAAATATTTAAAAATTTTAACTTATTCTTTTATATGGCCAACTAGCTGACACGTTTCATGCTTTGGGAACATTTAAAAAATGGAAAAAATTATCTTGAGGACTGTAAATAATTGAATATTTCTCACTATTATCCATCTGTATCTCCTGGTGGTGTTTTTTTAAAGAATTTCTTGAATGTTTAGATATTTCTCAATTTTTCCTTTCTGTTTTCTTTCTTTTTAATAATTTCTTGCCCTATCTAGAGCTCTGTAGCACTTGAAAACTTGCACACTCTTTTGTGACATGAGGAGTCCTAATAACCTTACCAGGCTCCTGTGGAGTGATCATCTAGAGTTATTTGATGGTGAACTGGTAGCATGAGAGATTCATAAACATGTGCAATGGACAAGTAGCACTTAGATCCATATAATACACCAAACCATAATATGGTTTAGCTATGGCTTGATGTGATGCATAAATCCAGCCAGGATACCTTTAAGCCACAGCTTAACATTATATGTGAACTAGCTCAATAGGTTACTTCAGGAAAGCATGGTTAAAAACATTAGCACTACATAACTGCATATAGCAGTGGTGGCGAACCTATGGCACGCAGAGCCCTCTCTGTGGGCAGACGCGCCGTAGCCCAGTCCTAGGCCTTCAGCTGGGTTTTATAAAAACCTTTTCGCTTTAGGCCTCTGGCGCCGTGTACAAAAAAAAAGGTTCAATCAATCAGTCAATTTCAACTTCTCGCAGAAAAAAAAAGATCTTGCAAAGTTGGAATTGATTGAATTTTTTAGTCCCACCCACTCTGCCGTTACCACCGCAGCCATGCCCACCCAGCACCCGACGATGCATAAGTGGGTTTTGGGTTGCAGTTTGGGCACTCGGTCTCTAAAAGGTTCGCCATCACTGGCATATAGTGTTGTTGGCATTTCCCTATCATGAACCCTCTAACCCAGGGCTTTTCAACCTTTTCACCCATTGTACCACTTTTAGGATATGGCAATATCCGAGTACCACCAGTCGCCTAGCAAGGTGTCAAAAACTTGATGACCAAAAAGAAAAATATCGGGGGTGGGATGGGGTGGGGGTGTTTGGTTTTTATTCCCCCCCGTCTGCTGGCTGGTTGCAGCAGGTTTTGGTCACTTCACATGACCCTGGAACACTGTGACCGTCATAAATATGAATCAGTTGCCAAGCATCTGAATGTAAATCACAATACCTTGGGGATGCTGCAACATTCCAGCTGATCGGCACTTCTTCTGGGCTCAGAAGAAGCACCAGGATCAGTGCTGCTTTCCAGCTAATTGGTGCTTCAGGGCCCAGCAGAAGTACCAGGATGAGTGCCGAGCTCCAGCTGGAGCCTGGCATTGATCCTGGCGCTTCCACTGAGCCCTGATAGCCCTGCAGCTCCAGCCATCTCTCGCTTAGGCTTGTGTGGTGCTGCCACTGGTTCAGCTCATTCCCCTCCCCTGCTACCACTTTTCTAGGATAGTCGCGTACCACCTGCCAGGTGCCAGTGTACCACAGGTGGTACCCGTACCACTGGTTGAAAAGCCCTGCTCTAACCCACTCCAATTGCAAGTTATGTGCTTATAGCTATGGCTTGACATGTTGCAAATGTTAGGATATTATCTTCAGTTCCAAATAAGAATGCATGCTCCTAGAAACACATATTTAATGTCATGGTGTTACAAGGAGAGGGAGCTTTAAAAGGCTATGTATTTATACTGGGAAGGCCTTTCTTACTTTTACCATCTCTAATGCTGACATTGATGCTATTTACCACTGCCTTCATAATCTCTCCCCTTGAAGATCATGTTTGGCTCTAAAGTCCTGATTAAACTAATTGTCTGGAATCCAGATGACCTTAGATTAAAAAGTATCTAAACAGAAAAATCAGAAAATGCAAAGAAAAACACAGAGTTCCTCTACTGCTCTTTTATCACTTGTTAATCATGAATTTTACCTTTAGCCCAGGCAGGAAATCCCACTGGAAAGTACTGTTTCTCAAAAAGAAGCATGACTTTATCAGCAGTAGCGCCAAATGCAAATCCCAATGACCATCGATTGCTGATTGAGCTGTCAGACTCCATTGGGCTGTAAAATAATGAAATAAAAATCTTAAGACATTGAGACCCTTTCCAAACTATAAAGTTATAATAATAGTTTCCAGTCAATCTTGAACTAGCAGGGAATTACACTGGCATAAAATTACTAATCCCAATAAAGGAGAATATTTGTAGCTCAGAATTGAAATGAGGGGTCCTTGGTGCTCTCTGAGTTTGGTTGTGTGTGTGTTTTTGCAGATGTTTCATTACCCAAACTAGGTAACAACATCTGCAATAACCAAGCTCAGAGAGCACCAAGGAGATTGAAACACTAATCCTTTATCTGAGCTCCATTGTTTCTGTCCCCAGTTATTGCCTTCACTCCAAGTTAAAGGAAGTCAAAGCTTAATAGTTTCTGTGCAACTTGAAGCTCTTCTTGAATGGCATCAGTACAAGGAAGAAAAGTGTAAACATTTGTACAGCAATAAAAAGTGGAGTTCATCTTACATCTGAAATGGTGATAAGTATAGGCAATATCACAGAAAAAAGGTGTCTCTAACACAGTGGTTCTCAACCTTTTTAATGCCACGACCCCCAACCGATCGTAAGTCGAGGACTAAACCGGTCGTACGTCGAGGACTAAACCGGTCGTAAGTCGAGGACTAAACCAGTCGTAAGCCGAGGACTAAACCGGTCGTAAGTTGAGGACTACCCAACCAGTCGTAAGTCGAGGATTTTCCCTGCCCGGGAGCGCCGCGCATGCATGGTTCCGCCCCCTGCGCCGGCCGAGGCGTAGCTGGCAAGCGGCAGAGACGGAGCAGGCCGACCACCAGCTAGCCCAGCCCAAGGAAGGTAAGGCACCCACCGGAAAAGGGGGAAAAAAATGGCGGACAGCTTTGCTTGGTGACCCCCATGAAATGGCCGATCGACCCCAAATGGGGTCGTGACCCATAGGTTGAGAACCGCTGCTCTAACACTTGTTTGCGCTGTAGATAGGTGCAAGCAATGTGTACTATGGCCCTTCAGATGTGCTAAATTATAGTTCCAGTGATGGCTTCCCATCTGGCTAGGGTTGATATGAGTCAGACCAGAAGCCATAATTGCCTTAGATAGAAAGTATTTTTCCTTTACCTGCTTTGGATACCATATGCTAAATAAATAAATTACCTGCTTTGGAATAATTAAAACTGTTTTTCATCACAAAATATAAATATGCAAGAGATATTTGTCTGAATCACTTCATTTTTTATGTCAAGGGCCTAAAGGACAGCTTAGGCCAGTGATGGCGAACCTTTTAGAGACCGAGTGCCCAAACTGCAACCCAAAACCCACTTATGCATCGTCGGGTGCCGGGTGGGCATGGCCCATTGGGTGGGCATGGCTGCGGTGGTAACGGCAGACTGGGTGGGACTAAAAAGTTCAATCAATCAATTCCAACTTTGCAAGATCTTTTTTTTCCCGCGAGAAGTTGAAATTGACTGATTGAACCCTTTTTTTTTTTTTTTTTTGCACACGGTGGCAGAGGCCTAAAACGAAAAGGTTTTATAAAACCCAGCTGAAGGCCTAGGACTGACGCGACAGCGCGAGTGCCCACAGAGAGGGCTCTGAGTGCCGCCTCTGGCACCCATGCCATAGGTTCGCCACCACTGGCTTAGGCAATTGCAGTTTCTACTTCCAAAAGGCTACAAGTCCCCAAATGTGAATGTCACAGACTGCTACTCAGGAATGGCCAGCAAGTATTGTGCAACTCACAGCAGTATCCCACAACGTTTTGGACATTTGGGGTATTTGTCATCAAACCAGAATTTTTTTGTTCTCTTTTCAAGACAGGCCAGGATCAAAATGATGACAACCTATAGGAACAAAAAAAAGTGTGATTAATATTATGAAGAACTGTCATGAACCATAATGAAGGCATTTAATATAAAAAGTATTAAGGTACCCAACAATTCAGAGCTGGATACATGTTTTACCAGCCAATGCAAATCAAAACTAGGTCAGAATTCTGAGCAAGCATTCATCCTTCAAATCTCCTCCCAGATCCACCCAGTAGAATATGTATTATGTTGCCTAGTGCCTTGGATAGATAGAGAATTAAGGGCTTTGATAAGTCAATCATCATTTCTCCTCTGCATCTGCTGTAAAGTGGGAGAATTCTGCTTTTCGCATTTATAAACACAAACACCCACATGTTCCTTTGTAAGTTTGTTCTTGGGCCAGTAAAGCATGTAGATCTTTACTTGGGCCAGTAAAGTATGTAGATCAACCTGTGGGTCGGGACCCCATTTGGGGTCGATCGACCATTTCATGGGGGTCGCCAAGCAAGGCTGTCCGCCATTTTTTTGTCCGCCATTTTTTTTGTCCGCCATTTTTCCCCCTTTTCTGGCGGGTGCCTTACCTCCCTTGGGCTGGGCCAGCTGGTGGTTGGCCTGCTCCGTCTCTGCTGCTTGCCAGCTACGCCTCGGCCGGCGCAGGGGGCGGGACCGCGCATGCGCGGCGCTCCCGGGCAGGGAAAGTCCTCGACTTACAACCGGTTGGGTAGTCCTCGACTTACGACCGGTTTAGTCCTCGACTTACGACCGGTTTAGTCCTCGACTTACGACCGGTTGGGGTCGCGGCATTAAAAAGGTTGAGAACCACTGATGTAGATAAATACAAGTTTTGCCTTGTCCCAAATGCAGCCATCCTCAATCCAATACTTACATATGTGAGAGTCAGTTTGGTATAGTGGTTAAGGCACCAGGCTAGAAAGTAGAAGACCATGAGTTTAAGTCCTACTTTAGCCATGAAAGCCAGCTGGTTGACCTTGGGCTAGTAGTTCCTCTCTCTCAGCCCAACCCTCCTTACAGGATTGTCATTGTGGGGAAAATAGAAGGAGGAAGGATTGGATATCTTTGCCATCTTGAGTTATTTGTAAAAATAATAAAGGTGGGATACAAATAAATAAATAGACATAGATATTCATTAAATAATGGATCCCCTCATCTATAGTTAGATCTTTTTTGCTGAGAATAATGGGAACTGCATCTGGATTATGCATCCAGAGTCTGCCAGTTTTGGAAATGCAAAATGGGCTTCCTCCAATGTATCTAAGGATGCATCCATTAGTCAGGAGAGTCCAAGCAGTCAGTGGTTGTCAGAATTTTGGTCTACTTACTGATGGAATAAGTGAATAATGTAGAAAAACGTCCGTTTCAATTGAACTTTTACAAGTATTATTTATATCGAAAGTGCTCCTGTTAAAGAAAGAAATACAAATGTATGTTTCATTTTTAAAACTAGAAAATGCCATTCATACAACACAAGCAATCCCAGATTTTAATTTACATTTTATTTTATTTTTATTTTTACTTTATTTACATGAAGCAGATATATAGTGACAATAATACTAAAGAACAAAAGCATAAGAACTATTCAGTCACTGGACAAAAGGGCATGCAATTTCCATTAATTCAAGGACTGAAACAGGTTTCATGTCAAAGACCATATTCCCCAAATGACCAGAACCAGGGCCCACTCAGAGTATTTAAAAAGATGAACAAATCCAAACAGATTAAAATACAGTACCATTTTGGTTCCTAACCTACACAAATAAAATGCAAAAAAGGGGGAAAGAGGGTTCCACTATAATTTTCCCATGATTTTTTTCTTCAAACCTTGGGAAATCGAAATGTGATAATGCCATTGGAAAGGGCTAAAGAAAAGAAAAATAGTTGGCTTCTCATATTGTGCCAAGTTTTGTATTTATTTTTACTGTGGTTTATTAAAAAGCCACATGCAATGCTAAGCCATAAATCATGAATTCCAAACACTGTGGTTGGGATCATATTTCATCGTCACATTTCATAGCTAAGCTGTAAAACCTGACATTAATTTATGAAGCAAGTGCCATTTTTTTGTTCTACATATTTCTGATATTTCCTTTATTATCAGGTTTAGAGCCCATCATATTTTTTTTACACGTTGTGGTGAGCACACTCACAAAATAACAACATACGGAAAAGGCAAAATAAAATAATAAAAGAAATAAACTGTGAAGGAAGGAAAGCATAGCCTGAATGACTACATTAAGAGAAGCCATGAACTCTTGCTGAAAGCAACCAATTAAGAAAAGCTCTTGAAAATAACAAAGGTGAAGTCTGAATATAGAAATGAAACAATTGAAAACATTTGTTAATTGCAAAAACAAGTATGCATGGTCAATACTTGAAGAATATAGAAGAAACGGCTGATAAAAAACCCACATAGAGTTGGTTAAGATCAGAAATGCTAAAGAAAGAAACTGAAGTCTTTATTTTATTGCCTCAAGAAAAAGCTTTGCATGAAGGCGAACATTCAACATGTAACACACAACAGCAAATGTTGCCTTTGTAGTAAAAAAAAAAAAAGATGCATTTTACCATTTGATCAATTGCAGCAACAAAATTTCACGAAATTTAAATGAAGAAGCTAAAATGCTCTGGGTCTTTAAAATTCAAACATTCAGACATCTGCCACATAACACCCCAGGCTTAACAATCGTTAATAAGAAAATAAATGTTGCAGTACTTGGAGACAGAAGAAGAGAAGAGAAAGAACTAGAGAAAAATCACAAAATACAAAGACCTGCAAATATTTATTTATTGCTTCTATTTATTTATTGCTTCTATTTATATCCCGCCCTTCTCCTTGCGGACTCAGGGCGGCTAACAACCAGATAAAAACTACAAAATACCAAAAACTACAGTTAAAACATGATTAAAAAACAAATATTAATAATTGGCCTAAGTAATTTAAAATTATTTTAAAACCCCCACTAGAACAACTATGGCAAAAAGGATGAGTCCCTTGGGTACAATCCCTAAACATCTGGAGCACCACTTGAACATCATCAGCATTGACAAAATCACCATCAGTCAATTGCAAAAGGCAGCTTTATTTGGAACAGCTTGCATCCTGGGACAATAGTTTAATACAGCGAGCAACATCTTGCCTATCCCAGGTCCTTGGGAAGGAATCAATAGGTGGACACAAGTATCAAATCCAAGTCTAAATATCTGGCTGTGTGACCAACAACAAAAATAACAACAAAGAGTTGTCCATAGAAGGTCTATCTATTCCCAGATAGCTGCCATGATAAGCATGCACTCATTTATTAGAAATGTATTCCAAACATCTGGCTGACTAAACCAACCTTAATAATACTAGTCCCTTAGTGAGGCACTACTTCACAATGGTTCTGGGGTTTGGATGCTCCCAGAAAGATGAGAGCTATGCCAGAGGTTCAACCATACTGGACAGGTTTCATCTAGGAGACAGTCAAAAAATGTCTTTCCCATAAACAATACGGTGAAATGTAACTCATAGAAATCTATACTGAAGGGTCACTGCCCAGGTCAACTCACTGATTGATTGATTGATTGATTGATTGATTGATTGATTGACTGACTGATTGATTGATTTGCTGCCCATCTCACTTCCACCTGCCTCCAATTGAGATAAGTTTGATATAACTTTTCTGGACATAATGTCTTAAGTTCAAAATAAAACACATTTTCCATTTCTTGCACTAATCCATATGATATGAGCTCATTCAATCAGCATTTCACTTCGGCTTCACAGGGGCAAAACAATTAGTGTGGTATTAAAAAGTTCATTGCTGTTGAATGGAGTGGATATGCTTTTGAATTATAAACTAAAAACTGGAATTTAAGAAAGATATGGATTTATTTATGGAAGTAGAAAAGATACTGTTCGGAAAAACAGCCATTCCATAGTTACAACCTTGGATTTTAGATGTGAATTTCTGATTTTGAACTTCCTTTAATAAAATGGAAAGACATCATATGTTGCCAAGACTGAACTACTTAAAAAATAGACTATATCTCACCTTTTATATGTATAGGGCTGACAACAACTGGAACAAGAATTTCCATTGCTAAGTAAGGCAGTTTTAAGCGAGTAGCACTTTATTTTACATCCTCTTTTGCCTCCGTTGTTAAGCGTATCACTGCACAGTTGTTAAGTGAATCATGCAGTCACTAAGTGAATCCAACTCCCCCCCACTGACTTTGCTTATTGGAAGCCAGCTGGGAAGGTTGCCAATGGCAACCACATGACACCTCCCCAGGATGTTGCAACCAAGGTAAATACATGGCAGTTGCCAAGCAGCCAAATTTTGATTACATGGTGATTGGGATGCTGTGAGGGTCGTTAAGCGCAAGGAGCAAGTCACTTTTTTCAGTGCCGTTGTAACTGAACAGTTGCTAAACAAATGGACGTATGTCGAGGATTATCTGTAATAGTTTTTATACAGAACATGCAAACAGAAAAAAAGAAAACTTTTTATACTTTAAAATCTCTGAGAGGAATGTAGTTTAATTCAGAATGTAGGAAGCATACTGCCAGATGTCCAGAGTACAATGTTACTTTTATTTACAACGTGTAAATATATGAGGTTTGTTGTGTCCTGAGCCTGCAAAAGCAGGCTCGGGACGTTGCAAGAGTCCCGAGCATTTGCAAAAGCTGCCCGGGACCAGACTGAGTGGCACCGGCCTTGCACGCATGCGCAAGGCGGGAAAAGACCGCCTTATGATTGGTTGGATTTGCCCGGGGATCAGAAGGTATAAATAGAGGCCTGCGTGCCTCTGCTTGGGTTGTTCGTAGATTGGAAGCAGAGAATAAAGACTTGTTAGAAATGCTTCGTCTCAAGCGCCATTATTCTCCGGACTTAACACTGGCAACGAAGGTGGGATTCAGTCTATACAGCTAGGAAAGCTTGAAGACTCACCCAAAGAAGTCCGGAAGAGGAAAACAGCGTGGAAGTCAGCGTTATCCTGCCAGTATGAAATCGCTGGAGGGTGCGTGCAGCTGAAGAAGAAGACCCTGATCCTCGATCATGGCAAAAGTTGGGCATTTAGCGGAATTCGACGTCTCTCACCCCGGGAGGTGGGAATCTTATGTTGCAAGAGTCGAGACTTACTTCCGCATAAACTAGATAAGGGAGGAAGGCTTAAAGGCTGCCACGTTGTTGTGCATTTGTGGGTAAGACGCCTTTGAGATCGCCGAGAGCCTAATCGCCCCGGCCTCGCTGGAAACGGTGCCATACTCCGATCTGAAGAAAGTTTTAAAGGAACACTTCCAGCCCAAGAAATCTGTCATGGCTTGGAGGCACACATTTCAACAGAGGGATCAGCGAGCTGGGGAATCAGCAAAAGAATACGTTGCGGCTTTGAGAAGAACAGCTAAACCGTGTGATTTCAAGGACTTAGAGGAAAGATTGCGTGATCGTTTTGTGTGCGGACTGAGGAACACAGACTTACAGCAGAGACTGTTCGCCAGGGAAGATGTCTCTTTCCAAGATGCTCTGCGAGAGGTCTCAGCAGAAGAAGCTGCAGGTGGGGCGGTCAAGAACATGCGGCCTAAGCAAAGCGCTCCAGAGACCGCCACCATCCACAAGGAAGACGTGCGAGAGGATTCGGAAGAAGATCCTGAAGAAGAGGTGGACAAGCTTTACCAAGCAGCTGGGAGGAGGTCCAAAGATCGTCAGGACAAGGGCCCAGCTGAGCTTCGTTGCCTCGGATGCGGTGGACGCCACAAGCGAGTGGAATGTCGGTTCCGTTCCGCCATTTGCCGAGCGTGCGGAAAGAAAGGCCACATCGCTGCGGTCTGCCTGGGTCGACAGCAGGTACAACCAAAGGAAGAATTGAATCTGAAAGGTACCAGGGTGCCCAGTCATAACAGGGTGCAACACGCCGGAACATTTTAAGAATAGGCACACACAAACCCCTTAAAAGGAAACTATCTCTTAAAGTGAAATTGCAGGGAGTTCCATTGTCGATGGAACTTGACACGGGGTCTGCCCTATCCATAATTTCCCTCAACACATTTCACAAAATTTGCAGCAGCAGTGGCCAGCGAGTTTCGTTAAGGCCTTCTAATGTAATCCTTACGGATTTCCAAAATTCTCAAGTGTGCGTTAAGGGGGAGGCCACCCTTAAGGTACAGTATAAGAATTTTGCAGGCCCCTTAGACGTGTTGGTTGTGGGGGGGTGAGCGAACGAGTCTCATTGGACTCGATTGGTTTGAGGCCTTGGGAATACAAGTAACAGGGCTACATAAGTTGCAAACGGAGACCCTTGCAGACGTATGCAAGGAGTTTGCAGATGTGTTCAGTTCTGAACTAGGGTCCTACACAGGACCTCCAGTTTCACTAAAGCTAGATCCAACGGTACAGCCCATCAGG